GCCCCCAGCCCCAGCCCCTCGGCAGGATAGAGGACAACACCAGCCCCGTCAGCGTGATTCTGGTGAGCTCCGGGAGCAGGGACAATAAGCTGCTGTTCAGGTACCCCTTCCAGAGAAGCCAGGAGCACCCGGCGTCCCAGACAAATAAGCCACCTATCCGATACGCTGTTAACAACACTGGCGACCATGCGGAGGACCAAGATGGCGATTCCAGGCCAACGCAGACCCATCCGTGATAAACTGTCTGCACAAGCTGTCCCGTCGTATTGCCACCTTGCTGCAGCACGAGGAGCGCCGCGGCCAGTACCTCACCCGGGAGGCCAAGCTGACCCTGGCGCTCCGGGATGAGGTGTCGCCATGGCTGGTGCCTGTGCACGTCGGGCGTGGTTCGGCTTCACATCAACAGCTGGCTGGAGGTGAGCTTCTGCCGGCCCCACGAGATCCACTATGCGGCATTATTTTTTCTAAGATATTTTTTATCTTTCTTCATTCCACCCACTCTGGCATTGTAGGGCTCCACCACGGTGTCTGACACCTTGAGCGAGGGCAGGATGTTGAATGTGTTTATGATCCTGTCTGGGTCCTCCTCCGAATTTTGCCCATGAGAAGGGTACCCATCCCAGACGCAGTCCTCCCACGCCAAACCTACTGAATCAGAACACACATTTTAATAGGATTTCCAGATGTATATGTACATTCAAGTTTAAGGTACACTTGTTTAGAGAGAAAAAATATTTAGTGTTAGAGTATGAAAGATATCAGCAAAATAAAAGATTAGCCTAATAGAGTAAAATAAAAAAAAAGGGGGGGGGGTTCTGGAGGAGGTCACGTGCAAGCCACCCCTAGCCGAGCGCTCCGCTCCGCGGCTGCTGGTCCCAGTATGGTCGATGACGCTGGTGCTGCCGAGTCCCAGCGAGGCCAACGGACCCCGACCCAGTCCCTGGAGCAGCTGCCTAGGTTACCGCTTCCGCCTCCACAGATTCGAATCCGGCCCTGGTGGTTTCCAGTGCAGGAACTGAGAAACCCTTTGGTGTTCTACCTGGAGGCATGGCTGGCAGACGCGCTCTTTGGCCCAGACCGAGCCATAATTCCAGAAATGGAGTGGACGAGCCAGGCCCTGTTGACAGTGGACATAGCAGACTCTGGGAACCTAGTCGAAATCACCATTTTTGGACGGCCCTGTGTACAGAATCGGGTGAAAAGCATGCTCCTGTGCCTGGCATGGTTTCACCGAGAACATCGAGCCTGAGCTGAGAAGATGAAACACCTTGAGAAGAACTTGAAGGCCCAAACATCAGACCCCCACACTCCCCAGGATTCTGTTGCTTAAGACAACAGTGTCAGGAGCATCTTGAGAACTTTGCAACTTTTGCTGCTTAAGTTGAAGAGAAGCAAGTATATAGCATTCCTAAATCCCTGCATTCGTTTTTCCTGCGTCTTGTTGGAATGTGGTTTATTTTGTCGCAAGAGTGAATTTGAACTATTCTAATAAATGGCTATTTTGCCCAGTGACATTAAGATCTTCCATACACTTATAA